TTTTTTTTTTTTTTTTTTTTTTTTTTTTTTTTGGTACCAGGGATCAAACTCAAGGCAGGCAGAGGAATCACTGAGCTAAATCCCCGGCCCTGGGATACAACATGATGTATCTTGGTTCTTATTTTTCCCCATTCCCCTGCCCTCTCTTTACCCACTTCACCCTCCCTATTTACAAAAACTTTGTTTCCATTTTTTCCTTTTTTCATATTTTTTCTGTTCTTTCTTGATACTACTTTTTCTATCCCACATCTCAGATTTTCAATCATTTTAGACAGCATATATGTGACACTAGGATGTTGTGTGGTAGAGAAGCTGTCCAGTGACAGCACCTTGTTTGTTAGGCAGAGGTGGTCTGTGCTAACCAGTTTACTAGTCTGACCTTCTAGACAACATTAAATGAGACTCTTAACAATTTTAATGAAAGTTTATCAGTTTCTCACAGAAATCAAACTTCAGTAGTCTTAATAACCACATTAAAAAGATTGAATTAGAGGTGCTTTTTAGAACATGTTTAATTATAATTACTTTATACTAGTGACATCTAGATAGGAGAAACTGTTAGTCTAGTAAATGTATTTTAAAAGAAATTAGGTCATATACATAAGTATGGCAAATACTAACCAAGGCTCTGTGATATTTTTTTCTGTGTTTTTGTTTGTTTGTTTGTTTGTTTGTTTTTTGATACTGGGGATCAAACTCAGGTCCTTGCCCTTGTGAGGCAGGTTGCAGAACTACTGAGCTAAATCCCCGGCCCTCTCTGTGTTTTTTAAACAGGTAGCTCTTTGAACATGACTTCTCACAGTCTCTGTTAATACCACTATAGAGTAAGGACTCAGATTTTAAGTTGAACAAGTTCATTTGATAACATTACATTTTGTTCCATTTTGCAGCCACTTGGTGAATTTTTGGATGAAGCCATTAAATTAATTGCTTGCCATCATGAGCAGAAGCAAGCGTGACAACAATTTTTATAGTGTAGAGATTGGAGATTCTACATTCACAGTCCTGAAACGATACCAGAATTTAAAACCTATAGGTTCAGGAGCTCAAGGAATAGTATGGTAAGTTTTTACTTCTAAACTTAGGCAAAGATTCATTCATTGCTCCCTTTTTTCATCTCATAATATAGATACTTTGGTAAATAAATTGCCTCAAAAAAATGAAATTAAAACTATAAAAATTAAGTGAAAACTGTAGCATGGTTGATTGTTTTCCTCAGGGAGTAATGGGCTTTTTATTATTCATAAAGCATGATTTTAATAAATCAGCACTACTATCTTTAAATATGAACCATGATTGAATATTTGATCATATGTTATATAGAGACATTTCTGTAGCAGGAAAGAATAATTGGCACAGTTGTTAATTCCATGCATACATCTATTCCCATAGCTAGTTATATACTAAGAAACCTCACTTAATCTTCACTTTTACACTATAGTGAAACTCTGGAATTTCAGAAATCTTATTTTACACTGGAGAATGAATTCACCTAATATCATCTCACTGTATGTGTTTTACGACTCATATATATCTTTAAAATTGATTTACAAGCTAATTTCTACAGAATGCCCAGGCTTTTATTGATCAGCATAATTCCTTATAAACTGAAATGCAGAACACTCCTTGGGGTAGTTCTACTAATGATTCAAAATCACTAAGTTAGCATAATAAGCTAGTGTTTGAAGGAATTCTAAACCACAGTTAAGCATAATTATATCTTTATTACCTCTTACTGAACCAAATTTGTTTTGAAATCTATTTAATATGCAGGTGCTGTTTATGATCCAGCACTTATGCCAGGTTCTAGAGAAGCTCTTACACTTGAACACAGAGAGACAACACACATAGGGCTCTTCTTTGCACCATTAAGCACAGTAGCAAAACTTGGAAAAAGAATCATCTATCAACAAGAGAATAAAAAATTATGATGTAGTCATAGAGTAGAAATACTGTTCAGCATTTAAATAACCTGGTGCTATCTATATCAACAAGGGACGGTATCAGAAATGTTGAATTAAGTTCAATAACAATACACATGTCAGTGTATTATTTGTACATTAAAGTATGTAAAAAAAATACCATTATTTATGAGTGATTTCATAAAAACACCAAACTGAAAATTTACTTATCTCTGAAAATATAGAAAAGGGAAGATCTTTACTTGTAGAATATTTCTAGCAGTTGGGCTCATTTTATACACTGCATTCTCTAGCTGTCATTTTAAGAATATAATCAATTAGCCAGCCACAAATTAAAGAAAATGTTACTATATAGTCAGAATTAGGATTCTGAAAGCCTGTTCTTGGTTCAGGTTCTACGTCTGTGACTTAGCTTTGTGATTCTTGGCAGATTAACATTTCAGAGCCTGTATTCTTACCTAATTTACAGAGTAGTTGTGAGAATTATGTTACACTATTTATAAACACTTATGCTATTTAAAAATATATTAATGTTTCTGATTATTCTCAGAGAAGAAGTGCACTTTGAAATTTGTGTACCAGAATTAAGAATAAAACATTGCTTTGAAAAGGACCTTAAATCCTCTTAACCCAGTACCTGTCCTAAGGAATAAATGTCTTCAAATTTTCCCTTAATAATTCTCCTAAAAGTTTGAAATAAACAAATATTAAATGTAAAAATTTTAAAACTCATTGTTATGTTATTGTAGTGATCAACTGAAAAATTCTATTTGGGGGGCAATAAAGAATTATTTTGGACCTCGTCCATAATGTAAGATTCACCAGACTTGGATTAGGGCTTCTGAATCCCCAGTTGTTTCTGATCTGTGCACATTTAAGAATTAACAATTAGAACCTTGTATCCTTGGATATAAAATAGTGAAATCCACTCAGATATTTTGAACTTTATAGTTTGAAATATTCCTTTTATTTGGCAGGTAAACTGTGAATAGGAATGAATTTAACAATTACAAATAAAACTTGTGTTTTCTAAAGATAGAATTACTAGAAATTTTCCATGACCCCAGTGTGGTTTCATTTTATATTTAATTTGGACAGGATATATATCTGTAAATATGGCATTTTGAAAGAGAATTATAATATTTGTGTACATTTTAGTGTGTGTGTATTTATATGCATTGGTATTGTTGTGTGTTGAATATATAGGTATATCCATTTATATAGTGTTAGTTTCTTAATCCATATAGTTTTGTGCTATATCTGATATGAGATAGTTACAAAACAAATTCAGAGTTATAGTTGGGTAAGGAAATCACATTAATCAGAAGTGAGCTGACTTTTCAAATATTACACAAATAAAAATCCTCTTTTGTAGCATGTTGGATGGCATAGTATTGTTCATACTATTTATAAATGCACACACAGCCTCATGTTTTAGTCTTCTCAGCTTTGCTTTTAACTTTCTGGCTAATCTGCAAATTACTCAGTTGCTGGCCCTGTATTAAGCAGTGTTGAATCCAAATGGTTTTTAAAGTCTTTCAGTCATAAAATTCAATAATTTAAATACAAGTTACCTTATTTGGGCTTCAGTTTCTCTGACCGGTCATATGTGAAAGGCCTGCCATGTGGTGAGTGTCATCAGGTAGAGGAAGACATATAGGAGTTAGATTATAGATGAGTGTGATGCTCTGTGTCCCGGTTAGGAAATAGCTACTGATGTCCTCAAATCTGGAATTTGTGTTTATCAATTGATTTGTTTCGTTTCTCCTCCAAAGCAAATTTTAAAGATTTTTATTTTTTTAATTACAAAATAAACTTTGATTTACATACTTCTGTATGTACTTTTCCCTTTCTGTATTTATTTTGTGTCCAAAAAGATGGAAGTAGCATATTTTTGTAGAATTCTTGGGCAAGTATTTTGAGTAGAATTTCTAGCCACGTGTCTTTCTGCCTTTCTCTGATTTAGGTGTAAGAGGAAGAAATCCATTAGGCTCTAAGCTGTTTAGTGAACCTAGACACACGTGAGGCATTTGTATAGTCATTGCCCACCATGTACAAGGTGGGCCTGGAGGATGCCCAGTGAATAGGTAGGTGCCTCCTCACAGTCCATTGTCTCTTTGGACAGTGTTTTAAGAGACAGGTGTTACACATTGTAGGAGTGTGCGGAAGTAAGTACGGAAAGCAAGTGTCAAACAGATGGGACAGTTACCTGATTTTGTTTGCCTTTGGAGAAAGTGAGGAATCTGTATTACTATTTCATAAATTCTGTTCTACAGATTTTTGCTTAAGTTTTCTGTTTTTCTTTTTAAATTTCTTATTGCAGTGCAGCTTATGATGCTATTCTGGAAAGAAATGTTGCAATCAAGAAACTGAGCCGGCCATTTCAAAATCAAACTCATGCCAAGCGGGCCTATAGAGAGCTAGTTCTTATGAAATGTGTTAATCACAAAAATGTAAGTGAATATTTTAAATTTCTTAAAATCAAATCAACTTTTATTCATGAATACATAAATAGCAAAGACTTTTTAAATATTAGGGGTTTTAAATTGTTCTTCCAGATTGAAATATTGTTTAAAAGGAATAAACACATCTCTCCACAGTGTGAATTTTACTCAACTTTGTTAAATAATATCAAAAGAAAAATAGCTTTTGAAAGTTAGATTGTGTGATTTCCTGACATTTAATTTCCAAAAGGAGTTTTAAAGAAGTATTTTAGAACAATTTTATTCAGGATTGATCTCATCTTTTGCTTTTTGTTCCCTGTAAAGGTGGCATTTCAGAAAACTCTAGTCTTAGCACAAAGATGTAATTGTTCCCCTTTTACTTTGACATTGAAACTTAAATCATATGGCATATAGAATTAAAATCAATCTCTTTCCCCGTCCTACTTTCTCCCCCACCCCACCAACTTTCTTGCATCATCGGAGTGCTGAAATTACAAACATGTGCCACTTCATCTAGTTTATTTTGAGAATAAACAGTTATACTTTTAAAAACTTATACTATGCATACTGATACTTTTATGATGTTTTTAGTGGAATGATCACTCCAAGCTGAGAAGAAGTAAACTAGGAGAAAATTTATGCAAGGAATCATTTTATAAAATACTTAAAAGGAAGCATCTGGCTTGAGACACTTTGTGGTGTTTGTCCAAAAGAGTTACTGAAATACACTTAATACTCAATACTTTCTGATAGTAGATAACACAATTTAACACATTTTGAGAATTAAGAATATAAGTCTTCTGTGTATTGGAGGTACAGGTTCTTTACCCAGAGAAAAATATATGGCAATTAAGAATTAGGCTCCTTAGTTGGGAAGTTTACCCTTTTTTTGAAGGCAAAACAAATATCAGATATATCAGGGCATTCATGGTCTAACTCTGAAATGATGGTGATTGGGCAGTAAGTGCCATGATTTCTAGAGAGATTTCTGTGAGCTTCAATGAACTGAGAAGGCTTTGGAGAAGAGTAGACTTAATCTGACTCTTAAAAATGTAAAACTTGGCTTGTTTAAGAAAAAGGACCTCCTAGCAAGGAAAAATTATGTAGCTGTTCTTGTTCTAGGTGGGAGCTAGAGGTATTACTCATCAAGGTTTTGTTGGTCTCTTGGTCTTGGTAGAGCTGCTAGTGCTCTTGTAGCTTATGACCATTTTCACGATGAGGGTTCTGTGTGTTGCCTTTGTTTTCCTTTGGCACAGTTGAAGGCTCAAAACATATTTTGTTCAGTGAATGAATATAAATAAATGTGGTGAAACCAGGGATGGTAGTTGCTTTTCCACTCCCTTATAGATGGGTGTTTTTGTGTCTTGTCTTTTAAACATTTTCATCATCCACATAGATCAGTCATCTGTTGGTTGAAGTGCAAACTTGAAATGAATAGCATTCTTTCAGATATTTTTTATGATACAGGTACTGGAATAGGAAACAAATCACTCTGAATCTTCTGATGTAAACTGGAGGGCACAGTGGAAAATTAAGTTTGGATAGGAATAAAAATGAGTTCAATTTTATACTATTTGTGAGATATCTGTATAAATGGCATGTATATCTGAAACTCCTAAGTTAAGCAAAAGCTTTTAGTGCATATGGGAATTTGCCACATAGTCATGTTGGAGAAAAAACATAGATAATATCATGCAGGGGAAGGGTAAACAGAAAAGAAAAGGCTTAAAGACAGTAGCAGGAAAGAGGGTATGCCTCTTGATAAATCAGTGGAATTGACTGGAAATGAAGAAAGCTGAGAAATTGGAGTAGTATTAAAAAATGGAACCAGTGGGAGGAAAGGGCTGATTATAGAAGAACACTGAGTTAGACAAGAGCTATTAGAAGGTATTTACATTAGTTGATAAATGTAAATGTATGTAGAGCTTTTTGTCATATAAGTACTTGAAGAGTATTCATGAGAGGAAAGGCTTATGTAAAACTCTTCTATTAATAAGGTTTTTTTTTGTTGGTTTTTAAGACTGTTAGTTTTAGGTTCATAGCAAAATTGGGAAGAAGGTGCAGAGTTATTTTACATCCTATACCCCAGCAAATGTCCTATATCCCCCAAAATATAACGTCCCTTACCAAAGTGATACACTTGTTGTAATTGGTGAACCTACATTAATACACAATTATCATTCAAAATCTGTAGCTTACATTAGGATTCCCTCCCTCCCTCTCTCTCCTACTCACTCCCCCCACCTTGCAGTCCTGTGGGTTAAACCCAGGGCTCATGCATTCTGAAAAAGCATTCTAGCACTGAGCAATATCTCAGCCTCCTGGGTTCACTTGCAGTGTGTTATATTCTATGGGTTTGATACATTCTATCTTCATACTTTCATATAGAGTAGTTTCACTGCCGTAAAGATCTTCTATACCTCCTAGTCATTCCTTCCTCTTCCCCAATTCTGGTCCATAAAGCTTTAATATATTAAAATGATTACTTGCTCTTAAAACAGAATTTAAAGGATTAAACTAATAGTGAATTTTTTTAACATGTTTCTGCCAGTTTGAACCACCAGTGGTATTGGGTGGCTTGGATCTGATCACTTTTATTGGTCTTTTTACTAATAAAATGAATAAAAAGCCACCCAGTGAGATCGTCATGCTTGTACCACTGGTAGTACAAGCCGCCCAGCAGTGAGACATACAAATTACATCTCAGTTGTGAACATGTTAAACCATGTATTTGTGGTTCCCAAATGAAGTATTAAGTAATTTCTAATTTGTCTTTCTGCTTTACCACAGATAATTGGCCTTTTGAATGTTTTCACACCACAGAAATCCCTTGAAGAATTTCAAGATGTGTAAGTGTGGTAATCAGAATATTGTTAGTATAAAATGCTGTTGGTACATTATTCTTAGATTGTTACTGTACACTTTAGCTGTCTTCCTTTTCTACCCATGAAGTTACATAGTCATGGAGCTCATGGATGCCAATCTCTGCCAAGTGATTCAAATGGAACTAGATCATGAAAGAATGTCCTACCTTCTCTATCAGATGCTGTGTGGAATCAAGCACCTTCACTCTGCTGGAATTATTCATCGGGTAGGTAGATAAACTACCACCACATGCTTTTTTATCATGGAGGTAAAATTCAAATAACAAATTGACCATTTTAGTATATGTGCTGCCGAAGTGAGCACCAAATTGACCATTTTAAAGTGTACGGTTCACTGGCCCTTAGTCTATTTAGTGTTACTCAGCTCCCATCCGTATCAAGTCCTAAAATATTTTTATCACCCTGCAAAACTCCAGTATTCCTTAAAGTAGTCACTGTTGACTCCTCTCTCCCACCCCTCACACCATACCTAATCTTCATTCTCTGTGCACTTCTTGTGGATATTCCATACGAATGGACTCTTCATGATGCATGACTTTTGTATCTGCTTCTTTCACTTAGCACGTTTTCAAGGTTGTCCATGTTGTATCATGTATCTTTTTTTTTTTTTTGGTTTTTGAGACAGGGTCTCATTATGTAGTTGAAACTGACCTGGAACTCACTATGTAGCCCAGGCTGGTCTTGAACTCACAGCAATCCTCCTGCCTCAGCCTCCTGAGTGCTGGGATTACAGGCATGTGCCACCATGCCCAGCTCAGTGCTTTCTTTTTGTAATGACTGAATAATATTCTGTGTATCACATTTCATTTATCCATCCATTTATGAACATTTAGGTTATTTCTGTCTTTTAGGTATTACACCTAGCACTGCTATGAAAATTCATATACAACTATTTCAAGCCAGGCGTGTTGGCTTGTGCATATAATCCCAGCACTTGGGAGGCCAAGGCAGAATTGCTGAAAGTTCATGGCCTGCCTGGGCTAGCTACATAGCAAGACCCTGTCTCAAAAAAAGCATTTGTTTGAAAATTTATTATCATTTCCTTTCAGTATATATCATCCTATACATGGACTTGCTGAGCCATGTTGTAAATTCTATGGTTCACTCTTTGAGGAGCCAAAGCACTGTTTCCAAAATCAGCTGCACCAGGCCCGGGGATTTAGCTCAGTGGTGCCCACCCAAAATCAGCTGCACCACTTTATTCCCCAGTACAGCATACAAATGTTCTAGTTTCTCCACAACCTTGCCAGTACTGTTAAGTATCTGGTTTTGAGTCTAGCCAACCTAGGATGTGAAGTGTTTTATTGTAGCTTGGATTTGCCTTTCCCTAACAACTAATGATGTTAATCATTTTTCATATGCTTGTTGGCAGCTTGTCATCTTTGGAGAAATGTCTATTTAAGTCTTTTGCTTGTTTTTTAATTTGTTGCTTGTGTTTTTGTTATGATCATTAAAATGACCATATTCATATTCCATATAGTAGATCATGCCTTTGTCAATTACATGAAGTACATCTCTTCTCCCTTTCCATAAGCTGTTTTTCTACTTTTTGATATCTGTTAATATGTAAGTTTTTAATTTTCATAAAATTTAATTTTTCTTGTTGCTTGTGCTTTTGTCATGTAAGAATGCATTGTCAAATTCAAGGTCATGAGCTTAGGTTTTCTTGTAAGAGTTTTATAGTTTTATCTCTTATATGGGTCTTTGACCCATTTTGAGTTCTTTTTTATGTATGGTCTAAGGTAAGGGACCAACTTCATTCTTCATATGTAGAAGTGCACTGGTCCCAGCTTTGTTTGTCAGAAACTGTTCTTTTCCTCAAAGAATGGTCTTGTTAAAAACCACCAGACCATAGATACATGGTTTTATTTTTGTGAATTTTTTGTTTGTTTGTTGTTGTTTTGCTTTGCTTTGTTTAGTTTTGTTTTGTTTTTGTACCAGGGATCGAACTTGGGACCTTGCACTTACTTGCAAGGCAGGCAGTGGCACCACTCAGCTAAATCCCTGGCCCCATGGTTTTATTTTTGGATTCTCATTTCATTGGTCTTTGTGTCTGTCTGTATATTAGTACCACATTATTTTGATTGCTGTAGTTTCATAGTAAGTTTTGAAATGGGGACTTAATATTAATTCTCCAACGTGCCAGGGATTTAGCTCAGTGGTTTCTGCACTTTCTTCACAAGCACAAGGTCCCGAGTTCGATCCTTAGTACCAAAAACAAAACAAAAAAAATTCTCCAACTTTGTTCTTTTTTCACTATTGCTTTGACTATTTGGGGCCCCTTGTGATTGAATATGAATTTCAGGATCAGCTTTCCCATTTCTGTAAAAAAAAAAAAAAAAAAAAGGCATTGGAATTTTAATAAGAGTTCCACTGAATTTGTACATTGCATGGTAGTTTTGTCATCTTAACAAAATTTAGTATTCCAATTTGTGAACGTAGGCTATCTTTCCATTATCTTGAGTTTTCTTGAGTTTTATTAGTCTACTTGGGCTGCCATAATAAAATGATACAGATTGGGTAGCTTAAATAACAGAACTTTATTCTCTCACATTCTAGAAGTCTGTGTACCAAAATATTTTAGTTTCTGTTAAAGGCCTCTTTTTCTGGTTTGGCACAGCTGCCATCTTGCTGTGTTTTCACATGGCTTCTCCCTCTACCTGTGTGGGTAAAGAATACTTCAGTGTCTCTTTTACGTGGACATCATTCATTTGGACAGGAGCCTCTTATGCTCTCATTATAACCTCAGTTATCTCTGTAAGGACCCTATGTTCAATACATTCAACATTGGCACTTTGGAACTTTAACACAGGGATTTTGAGGGGACACGATTTAGTTCTTTTTTTTTTTTTTTATGGTACTGGAGATTGAGCTTGGGACCTTAGGCTTGCGAAACAGGCAGCGGAACCACCAAGCTAAATCCCCAGCATCCACAATTTAGTTCATTTCTTTGGTTAGTGTTTCATAGTTTTTGTTTGTTTGCAATATTGGAGATTGAATCCAGGGCTTTTGCACTGAACTAAATCCCTAGCTAATGACCAGATCTCACTATGTTGCCTGGGTTGGGCTCAAACTTATGAGCCTTCAGATTTAGGCTCCCAGAGTTCTGGGATTACAGCTGTGTACCTCCATGGCATGGCTGTTTTATAGTTTTCAGTGTACTTTGACCTTAACTTATTTCTCGGCATCTTATTTCTTTGGCAGCTATTATAAATGGAATGGTATTCCTATTTTCCTTTCAGATTCATTGGTAGCATATAGAAGCACCAACTAATTTTGCTGTGTTGAGCTTGTCTTACAACTTGGTAAAGTTTATGAGCTTTGCTTTTTAATGGATTTAAATGATTTTCTGTATATTATTTTGGGTCATACCATCTGTACCTTAGATTTACTTGTTTCATTTCATTTTGGGTGCCTTTTTTTAGCCTAGCTGCTCTAGCTAGAACTTCAAGTAAAATGTTAACTAGAAGTAGTTAAAGTGGTTTTCTCTGTCTTATTTCTGATCTTAAGGGGAAGGCTTTCAGTCTTCACTATTATAGTTGTCTGTTTTTTGGTTCTATAACAAAATACCCAAACCTGCATACTTACAAAGTATCTGGGGGTCTCCTTGGGGTCAGCGTCCATGGGGAGTAAAGGAAGTAAAGTGGGCAGGCAGAGAAATTGAACTGGATGATCACTTCTCAGACTTTTGGCTAAGATCAAGTGTAGAAATTGAACTGGATGCAGTCACTCCAGAAGCCTCAGATGGCAACTCAGCCAGCCACCACCCAGGAAGCAGTGTGGCCTCCTCCTCTGAGGACAGTTCCTGGGGAGGTTTACTGACTCACCAGCCATCACTCCAGGAGCTGGAAAAGCAAGTGCCACAGAACCTCTGCCACTTCCTCCTTCTTTCTCCTCCCCTTCTCCCCTCTTCCCTTCTGCATGCTGGGGATGGAACGCAGGGCCTCAGGAATGCTAGGCAAGTGCTCCACCATGAACTCTACACCCCTGATGCTTCCACTTTTCTTTGTACAGTAAATTCTAGAAAATGTTCCTTCTGGGTTTTTGTTTGGTTTCTTTTCCTGGAATAACTTTGAAAACACTTAAGGTGATAAACTAGAACCTCTGCTCTTGCAGCAGGTCTTGAGGACACGGTTGTGATCTTTGTGTTCTACTCACTTTATTTTATTTAATTTAATTTATTTATTTATATATATATTTTTTGGTACCAGGGATCAAACTCAAGTTGTTGCACTTGAAAGGCAGGCTAAATCCCTGGCCCTCTGCTCATTTTAGATTTACTTCACTTTTTGCCATCTGGAATTACTTTCTTCGTAAAAAAATAACCTGGTCTTTCATCCCTTAGGGGTTCAGTGCAAGTTAAGGTTGGGGGTGAATGGTTGTTCAGAGGCTCCAGCTGAATGGGGCTCATTATACAGACAGGCAGGCTTTAATTTGCTAACCTCTGGTCTAAAGCTTCCGGTTCATTATGCACATGCTGTGCAGGTGACGGTGTTATAGAATGTTCTGCCACTGGTACTTTGGATCACTTTTCCACCTTTGATACTAATTTTCCTTCTGCTCAACTGCTAATATCTGAAATGCTTGGGACCAGATGTGATTCAGATTTTATAGCCTCAAATGTTTTCACATTTGAAAACATTTGTGTGGACCTTACCGGTTGGGCACTCCTAATCTGAACATCTAAAATGTTCCAATATCCAGAACTTTTTGAGTGTCATGTCAGCACTCAGAAGGTTTTGGATTATGGAGCATTCTGGAGTTCAGATTTTCCAATTAAGGCTGTTCAGCATTGTAGTAAGACCCTATTTATGGTACCAATCTTGGGGTTAGAATGGACTAGGGTTGGCTGAGCGGTAACAGAACTGAAATTCTTGGGGCTGTACGTCACTAAGATTTATTTTCCTGACTGCCTGTCCAGTGGAGGTCATAGTGGGGGAAAGAGACTGCTTACAAAGACACTTCACCACCATATGTAAGGTTCAACAGTACATATGTAAGCAGTGTATGTATGTTATGGATATGTGCTTTCTCTCTCCTTTGTTCACAGTAGAATTCATCAGAGCTAACAGGCAGAGTATGTTGATCATGAAGCCATGAGTTTTCATACTCCTGCCTTCCTATTAATGGGCATAGCACAAATTGTCCACCTGACCCCAAATGGAAGGAAGTTATTCATAAAGATGTTATTTAGCAATATTAACAGCAAGTTGATATTATATGGACTGTTGGGACCAACGTGACAGTGTCATACCTGTACAGGCAGACAGAAAGTTTTATGAGCAAGTTTTTGAGCTTTCATGTGGGAAGTCAGGGATAAAGACTGATGACTACTTTGGTCCTTTGGAGCTGAACATCTATCTTCTGGTCTGAAAGGTTAACTAATATATGCCATGATGGGTAAGATGGCCTTGTTTCCACTTGTAATGAATGTACAAAGGTTATTGTGAATTTAAAACAAATTTCTAAAATACTAGTCGTTTGGTATTCAAATGAAAATAAATGTTAACTTGTGACTCTTTGTTTTATCATAGTGGTTCTTATTTGAGCTTAAGATGCCATTCCAAGTCTTTTTTTACACTATTTGATAAAAAATTTCTAGCTAATAGTAATTTCTAGGAAATAAACACTACTAACTTTTCTAATAGCTATATATGTTCACATATTTTAGAATGATGTTTCTCAGGTTTGTTTATGGTACATCTGTACACTGATATTATGAGAAAAATGTGACAGTATTACTTGTGAACTACAAAATATATATCTTAGCAATCTTTTATTTTTATTTTTTGAAGGACTTAAAGCCCAGTAATATAGTAGTAAAATCAGACTGCACTTTGAAGATTCTTGACTTCGGACTGGCTAGGACTGCAGGAACAAGTTTTATGATGACGCCTTATGTAGTGACTCGTTACTACCGAGCACCTGAAGTCATCTTAGGCATGGGCTACAAGGAAAACGGTCAGCATATATTTTTCATTTGAAATACTCAAATCACATATAGTATTTTAAACATTAGCTGTCACTCTTTTGTTCTTAAGTAAGCATGCTACTATATTTTCTCACTCTCTACCTAAAATTTGAAAGCTTGTTGAGTGTTGATGAGAGTGACCAGTGTGAATGTTGCTTTTGCATTTCTGGTGATGGTGATTTTGCATGAAGGATCAGTGTCCTATAAATATGACAACTGTCACCTACAGAGCTGACATCTTGTCCTGTCTTGGGGTAAGAATTGTGCAGTCATCATACTGCTTCCTGCCCCTTCCCCAGCCTAATGAATCAAATGTCATTCTTGCTGATAGTAAACACATTAGCCAGCAGGGTTACACATAAGTACTTCCTCCTTTTAGTGACACCCTCACACCTGTTAACAATAGATTTATCTGTTTTTTTATCCCAGGCTACTTCTGATCATTTTGGAAAATGTGGCAATGAATATATTTTAAGCTGCCTATTAATAAGCCCTTTTAAAGCTAAGTTTGTGTATGAATCAAAGTTATGGTCTAAGAAAGTCTTCACTGATCCAGATAATATCTTTTCTCATACTTGCTGCTTTCCAGACCATCTTGTTTAAAACTATGTTTTTCTGAAGATTCCCAGCATAAATAATGTCCTGATCATTTAGACTTCTGTTTTATCTACAATTTATAAAATAACAAAAATTTACTCCAATAAAAAAACTTATCCTAATAGATGTTTACCAAAAAGGAGAGCTGAAAGAGACTATGCTGTGAACTGATTTATGATTATTAATTTTTCCTCTAAAATTTCATCCTTGAGGGTTAACTCATACTATAACTCTAAAAAGTTACGCATGCATTTTAGTATGAAATTTTAGGGAAACTTCAGTTCCTTGGGAGTTCTGAAAATTTCTACCAGTTTAGCTCTTAAGACTCTTCGGTGAGCTGGCATTCTCCTTACAGGTAGGAGTGTACTAGAAAGTACAGGCTCAACTTTCCTAAATCCTCCAACATGGGTAAAGAGCCTATCTCTTTAACACTTAGCCCTGCTCTTTCCTCTTGTGCCCCTAAAGAAACTTCAAGAGGGCCAGGAATGTAGCTCAGAGGCACCGCGCCTGCCTGGCAAGCACAAGGTGTCCTGAGTTCCATCTCCAGTACCAAAAAAACAAAAAGCAAAAGAAACTTCAACACCCAAACCCAAGCTTCTAACTCTTTTCCTTTTAAATCACTGTTGTTCCATCTTCTATTATTAACTCCTCTCCAAGAAGTTAAGTCTTCGTTCTCAGTGCACTTGTTGTTGGGATACTGCAGTAAATGTGGAATGATGTTGTCAAGAAAATAATCAATTTCAGAATAGATATAGTACTTCTTAATTTAAGAAATCCAGTTTGAAAATATGTGAAGAAATTAACTTTTTGTGATAACTGCTCATAGAGACATTATTTCTCAAATATTTTAATATGCTGAACTATTTCTCCTCTTGCTTTTTTCTTTTATTTAAAGAGAGTATAATGCACAGTTAAACTTCAAAATACTATGTTTTATTTTTATAATTTTACTACCATATACACATATTTATATTCTTTATAAAGTTTGTGTTTGGTTCTTGTTCATATTTTATAAATTCTCACCTGTGACATACGTTTTTTACTTTGTGCAATTTCTGTGCATGGCTCTCACTTTAAAATTAGATATGTAATTAAAATGCCACACTTTACATTTTCTTTTATGAACCAGAGCTTCTCAAAAAATATTTTGTTTTAAGTTATTCCATTAGCTGAAATTAAAATCACTTTTTTCTTTTCATGATGTTTTGCAGTTTTTATATAATGCAGTCATATTATGCTTCTTTGATTTTAATGATCTTTTGCTTTGCTTTTCCTTCTTTTGTGCTGCAAACATGTAGTGGATTTATGGTCTGTGGGGTGCATTATGGGAGAAATGGTTTGCCACAAAATCCTCTTTCCAGGAAGGGACTGTATCCTTGTGCTTTTGCAGCAGATCAATTAGTGAGGTGATGAACTCCTTCTTTTCTCCAATGAAAATGAATATGCTACATTCATACATACAGGCTTTTAAACAGATGTAAAGTTTGTAGCTGTTGTAGTTCAAAAATTGTTGAGATGAGCTGAAATATTTGTAGGCTGCATCTGGCAGTAGGACATACAGTCTCTGCTGGTAGCTAGAGCACATTCACTGTCATTCATTTTTATTTTATACTGCTTTTTATGATTTTAAAATATACATGGTGTGTGTGATTTTTTTAATGTGTATATATTTTCTTTTTATTTTAACCAAAATCTTTATGTTAATGTCATTGCATTTTGTTTTCAGTTGACATTTGGTCAGTTGGGTGCATCATGGGAGAAATGATCAAAGGTGGTGTTTTGTTCCCAGGTACAGATCGTATCCTTATCTTTGGCCTCTTATGTAGTTTATGAAGGTCAAAATGTATGACAGCACTTCAGCTTGGTCAGGTGTAATGTATTTTGTCTCTCCCTAATATAAAGTATTGTTAAATTACACTTTCAAAATGCCACCTACAATTTGACGTAGACTTTCCTTCATTTATTGTTTCATATGTGAATTCTAAAAAGTGCTCAAGTGTAATTATGGAGGTTTTTTGTTTTGTTTTGTTTTGTTTTGTTTGCTAGCTTGAGTTGATTTATTTAACCTAAATAAATCATGGCTTGCATTTAAAATTTCTAATAATTATACACTTGAGTATACTAAGGATTTAATGTGAATTTTCCAATTGCCTATTGCTGCTGGCCATCCTTTTGTTTTGTCCTTCCACCTTCTTTTTATTAATGTTCTGTGTGTTATGTGTCTTGTTTGTCTCATTATTCACCATAACATAACTGATTCTTTTGTGTGAGAATTTCAGCAGTAGTAGCTTTAAATGGCAACAATTACATTGGGATTCCTGCCTTTTGTTTATCTGACCACTTTTAATATTTATATTAACAGTGATACATTTATCAACAAATAACAGTTAGAATTGCTGTAGGAGGAAGAATGGGAGTATTCACTAGGTTACATAAGAGTTTTGGGTCTCTAAGGCTTCAAGGGCTTAGAATGTAAAGATTAGGAGGAATGAAACCAGGGAGTCCTAACCTTACAACTTACTGAAATATTGAATATCTTTATGTTTCAGAACTTTAAATTTTTTTGTTATTTAAGCTAAAAAAAAGAAAATGCCACTTTTATCAGTCATGTTTTTTGTTACTAGTTATGTTAATGTAAAAAACTTCAAAAAGCAAGACATTATAGAAACATTTCTCATTTTGTAAGACATTTTCACATTTTTCTTATTAATAAGCTGGAAAAAGGACATGTTTTGTATTTTGGAAATATGTACTGTTTGCAGTTAGAGTTTTTATGGAAAGTAATGATAATTTGACTTTGAGTTATTTATAATTTCAGCATTTGAGATTAGGATTCCATTTGATGGTAAAATTAGTATTCTTATGCACACAGTGTACACACACAATAAGGTTAGCAAAGTGTATTTACTGATCATTTCTGTCTACCTAAAGTCATTGCCTTTTATGAGTTAGCTGTGAAATATAAAATTTATAACTGCCACATTCTTTCTTAGGTCTCTTTAACTTTCCATATTCTTGTATTTTTTAATATGGTTTTGACTAATGTGTTGAACATTAGATACAGAGTATTTTTCTTAGCTACTTGATACTAGATATTGATCAGTGGAATAAAGTTATTGAACAGCTTGGAACACCATGTCCTGAATTCATGAAGAAATTGCAACCAACAGTAAGGACTTATGTTGAAAACAGACCTAAATATGCTGGATATAGCTTTGAGAAACTCTTCCCTGATGTGCTTTTCCCAGCTGACTCGGAACACAACAAACTTAAAGGTAATTTTTACCAACGTATATATTAAATTCCTGTGTGAATGTTTATGTGTTTGTTCATATGGGATATAAACCAAAATTATCTCTAGGTGGTTGAACAAAGTTTTAGTTATTTTTACCTTTAATATTATATTTTAATCATACATATGACCTGGGTTTATAATTTTTAAAACTCCTTTTTAAAACATAAGAATAAATAAAACATAAGGATGTATAAAATATAAGTGAAAGATAATTTTGAGTTTCTTAAATATTACTGATAATTTTTGAGAACCCTTATGAATGTGTCCTTTAACATGTTTATTTTTGCAGCCAGTCAGGCAAGGGATTTGTTATCCAAAATGCTGGTAATAGATGCATCAAAAAGAATCTCCGTGGATGAAGCACTACAGCACCCATACATCAATGTCTGGTATGATCCCTCCGAAGCAGAAGCTGTGAGTCTTTTTCTTAATGTTAGAAGAACATACTGTGTTCTTAGGGTTAGAATTAAACTTAGATTTGGAGGAGACTTTTTCATTTTAAAAAAGAATGTAGACTCATAATGATGGTGCCTTTCTGTTTTTTCAATGAAGAGTACCTTCAGCTGCCGAGTGTGACTGGGCACTTCTTAGGCAAGGAAGCTATCTTGCACTGTTTTCCCTCTCTTGCCTTGACACCTGGTTAGAGGGGCTGGAATGGAAGGACCTCTGTGGGACATCCTAGCTTTGGACCGAAAGTATAACAAGATTCTATGTAATGAAATATGACAATTTCACAAGTTGGAAGAAAAGAAAAATGTTAACATCTTTTTTTTTTTTAAGCGATAAACATCTTATAGAACTAGCCTATGTAAGGAAGTTGTGGACAGTTGTTGTGGACAGTTGATTAGTCTTGGCTTGATGCAGTTTTACAAATCTTCATATAGCTATTAAGAGTTGATATACTTCCAGGAAACTGACTGAATTATTATCCCTTTGTGTTTCAGCCACCACCAAAGATCCCTGACAAGCAGCTAGATGAAAGGGAACACACTATAGAAGAGTGGAAAGGTAACACCTACCAGATTTCTTAGAAACTGAGAGGGTTTCTGGCTTTTTATGATAATTTTGTTCCTTGTACTTCATATTAGGGGAATTAATGATATTTTCTGTTGTTTTTGTTTTGGTTTGGTTCCTAGAGATTAAAACCAGTAGCTCTTGCATGTGAGACAAGAGCTCTAACACTGAGCAGCACCCCAGTCTTTTTTTAAGATTTTATTTTGAGACAAAATCTTGCTGTGTTGCCCAAGCTGGCCTCTATCTTTGATCCTCCTTCCTTGGCCTACTGAGCGGCTAGGATTACAGGTGTGCGCCACCTATTTTCTGTTTTAATAATTAATTATTTGAGCCTAGTGTGTTGGCCTATACCTATAATCCTGCTAATTTGGAGACTGGAGGGAGGGTCATGAGTTTAGAGCCCAGCCCAGGCAACATAGTGGGACACCATCTCAAACACTCAACAGACATAGCTGATAGTAATGATAATTTTTACAAAAGTGGATCTCTTTTTCCCTGACTTAATTTCCAAGTTTTCCACCCTAGACGTAGACATGTTAGTGCTTTCTCCCATTTTTCCATAGTCTGTGTTTATACGAAGTGTATTTGTATAACCATAAGTGCTTGCATACTGTGTGCTGTTCACATTTGCTGTCGATACAGTTGTGTACCATGAAGATGGCCCCTCTTGGACCACGTAGCTGCCTCAATTGGTTTGATATCTGGTATGTATTGTGCTGTGTACGTGTCACAGTCTCTGTCCAGCTCCCTCTAGGAATGCTTTTCGGATGGGCCCAGTCTGCTTCTATTACCGACAGCTGTGTGGTATTCATGTGCACATGTGAGAACATGGCTGGGAGAACAGTCCCAGGAGATAATGCTGAGCCAAAAGCTTGCATTAGTATTATAGAGGGGTGTCTAATGACTGTCACCCTTGCCAACAGAGGGCTGAATTTTTATTCTTTGTACATAAGTATAGTAGTTTTATGAATGTGGGTGAACATTATTAATGCTTTGATACTCTTAGGAATGTCAAAATAACATACATTTTAAAGATCTCTAGGGACATACGGTGTGGGTAACTTTTAGACCTATTTACCGCCATCTCTGTTGGTGTTTAGTGTTTGGACCACTTTTTTAGCTGTGTGATTTTGGGCAAAATATATGACCCCTTTTTATGTCACCTTAGAGTGGAGGTGCAGAAGACCTGTTATAAAGAGCTAAGTTTCTCAGTACGAGGAGGTGAAAACCTGAACAGGGAACTAAACCCATTGATAAACTTATCTGGCAAAAAATGAATTTGATTCTTCTTAGGAATAACCAGATATTTTCTCTCAGTTAGCTTTGAGAGACTCATGGTTAATAGAACCCAGCAGAATGAAAGGCTTGGGTTGAGCCTAGTGTGTCTGTCTACATATATACTGAGTAGTCCACAAGGCTGTAGCTCAGGATCAGTGCAGTTATTAAAATATTCACCTGACAGTTTCATGTTCCGTTGGTTTGTTGTATTTCACAGATTCATCATGTCATTGCAGGAAGGAAAATCCACTGCCAAAGCCAGTAACTATAGATTGTTTACCTCGTTGGTACTCCTATTAGCTTTGATTCTTTATGTCTTCATCTCCTTTCACAAAGGGATGTTATTTTTACTTTTTTAAATCCTCTTATCTGAAATATCATTCTTTTTGTCTCTGAAAAAAATAAAAAACATCTCCTCTTTCATCGTCAAACTTTTTTTCTGTCCTCCTAAGGCCAAGGCTACCATAGCAGGCAAACTACTCATTCTAACCTGTCCATCCATTTTCACCTTCTGACCAGCATAAATGTTGTCAGGGATTCTTTATAAGAAATTGAACTTCCAGAATTGTGCAGCCTTCTTGAAATTTTGTGCAATGCTTTTGGTTCATATGTTTTACTCAGAACAAAATTTACTGCTTTTATACAATTCTCAAAAGACTGTCACCCAGAGATGATGAATAATGAGGTAGCATTTATCAGCAGGTCATTCTGACAGTGACAGGAGAATTACAAGGTACATCACACTTGACATATCCTAGAAGACTCCTGCTGGGGGCAGTACTGTTCTCTGTGCAGCCAGAGCTGTCCTCAGTGTGGTCCACCATGATCCTCAAGCCTCAGAGAACACAATCAGAATGTTGGGGGCCGGGGATTTAGCTCAGTGGTTCTGCTGCCTGCCTTGTAAGCACAAGGTCCCGAGTTCATTCCCCAATACCAAAAAAAGAAAAACAATGTCGGCAGTGACAGTGTTTGTACTGGGGTTGGGGCAGATTTGAGCATAACTATCTACATCTCTTCCTTTAACAAATTTTGTTCCTGTTCCATTCTGACAAAAGAATCTTCCACATGCTCCGATTTAAATCTTTGTGACAGATACTTGGTTGAGCATATGCAGTGTGCCAGGGCTCAGGCAGTGGAAGTCAACAAGACAACCACAAAGTTCGGCCCTGACTGAAACAATGAATTGAGCATCTGCGGTGCGGTGTACTGGCCGCGTAAACAGATAAAGCTTCCCCAACTTCTAACCCCAGCTCTGGCCCTAAGCCGACTTGAGAAACATTTACTTTCTTTCAAAAAAATGTGTGGTTAAGGATTAAGGAATTGTTATTAACACCCATAAATCTCAGGTTGACCTGTAGGGACTGTCAGGTATGGGAAGGCAGTACCTGACATACTTACTGTGTTTAAAAGTTTTGACTTAAAGCATTCATATCTTGTGATATTCATTGTTAGACTTTGCAGAATTCATTTTTGCCTATCTGTCTTTCAGAATTGATATACAAGGAAGTAATGGACTTGGAGGAGAGAACCAAGAATGGAGTTATCCGGGGGCAGCCTTCTCCTTTAGGTTGGTTACAATATAAGCATGGTTGAGGTTGCATTTTACTTCTTGTTTTGTGATCTTCAGCAGCCTGAAACTTGTAGTGCTTTTCATTCATACTACCACTATTACTCAGGTTACAATCTGGTTGGTCAAATCTGAAAGCATCAGTACACTATTGGCCTAACACTTGATATGTTGATAACTCATGTCATAAAATGCATGTCTCTTTTGCTGACACTGATACACCTCTGAGGGACAGAAATTTAAAACCTTCTTCCACTGATGCCTTGTTGTTAAAGAAAAAATTTCTCAAAATTCAGTATACAGATTCTGCCCCAAAAATGTATACATCAAAGCTGGGCCTGGTGGCACACACCTATTATCCCAGCAGTCAGGAGACTGAGGCAAGAGGATGGATGTGAGTTCAAGACCAGCCTGGGCTACATAGTGAGTTCCAGGTCAGTCTCAACTACATAGTGAGACCCTGTCTCAAAAAACTAAAAAAAAAAGTATATGTACATCAACAAAATAAAAACATATATTTTAATACTAAGTTTACTGAATTGTAATGAGATTAAAATGTTATCTTTAGCATCTCCAATTGTAAGAAGTGCTCAAAGTGGTGGCATTAGCTTCCAGACATTTATTGGTATTGCAAACTGCTGGGGTATGTAGGCAACTTACTTTTCTATGACTTTTTAACAGTTTTTTTCTTTGAACCAATATTTGGTTCATATGATACAAGATGCTATCTTTTTCATTTCAGTATATTTGATATGTAGCAGTGACATTAAAACCACCACTAAAAAGTGTTTATTCCCTAAGAGGGAATTTGGTTTGTGGGAGTGAATGATTTTCTTTTATCATAAGCTTGTCTTAATTTAATCTTGGAACTTATAAAAGTACAAAAAATGGAGAGGAAAAGCTAAATGGCAGGTGACATGTATATATCAAGGACAGACACCCAGTAGTTTTGTACTTTATTTCATTCACCCCCCTGAAATCCTAAGAATTGCTGTGCACATTTTAGAGATGAGAAAACAAGTTCAGGAAAGGTAATGGAAGATGATCTGTCATGTAGGAGAACTTGGTGGAACTACTTCATAGCATATGATTTTCCCAGCATTCCATATTCCCTCTGGCTGGCAGCAGAGATATCTGTGGTTCTAGAGCAGTGTTGGCAAACCTATGACATGTGTACCTAAGTGGACTGTTTGTATCACTGAAAGTTGTAGGTGAATGCACAGATAGTTTTTTGCTTTTCCTAGGCACAGCTACTGTGAGTCACACCCACATTCCATTATAATAAAATCACGTTTTCATAATAGAGGAGCAATGTGGGTATATTTTACCCCCTTGTGTATGTGCTGCTCAAGTAAACATACACAAAACTTACTAGACGGAACATTATGTGAGTAAAAATCCCAGTTTGACACTTTTGCACATATACACACACCTTGCCATTCATCATACAAAGTAGGTAAACACAAGATTGCTTTCTGTTTCCTCTGTTGGAGCTACTGAGATGTACAGCAAACAGTTACTATGCTAAAGTACAAATTTTTAGTGGAAAGGTATCAGATCGGTTTGTTGTAACCCAGTGTTATGCCCTTTGGGTTAAGTGAGTTGGCCTGTCTTGAGTGTGAAACAACGTTAGGAGGAAACAACCCAGATACCTGAGATGAAAGCAGTTCCATACTATTACTGTTCATATATTTGAGAATTTATTGTATTGCTTTTAAGTTTAGAGAAAACAGTTATTTTTCTTAGATAGTTGATTTTCAGATTTAAAAGTTAACTCATTATAATGTATTAAAAGTCAATTTTTACCAGATTAAAAATTTTGGATAAAATTAAGATCCTGATAAAATTAAGTCCTATATAAAAACCACATGTGGTAGAATTTAGAATTAAATAAGTGATTTGAATGCTTTGGTACACTTCTCAGAAGTCAGCCATGGTACAGGTGTACTGTGTATGGTATACAGTACAGTATGTGTTTTACTGTTCAGTCAGCAAAGGCTGTGTTAACAGAATCGTATTGCTGGGACTACAGAGAGAGAGTACAAGCTCACATGTGGCCCTTCTGGTAACCTAGTGGGCCTTTCTCAAGGCCAGGAGGTCTTCCCCGTTTTCCTTTTCCACACTAGGCTGCTTTCCTTTCCCATTTCAGCTCGCAGCACCCACTTTGTCCTTTGTGGTTCCATTCCTTTCTGCTTCACAGTTTCCTGTACTTGCCCCAAGGATGTCCCTGTTTTCTGCATTCTGTCTGAAGACAGGCTCTCAGAGGAACTGTAGTTAAATGCTTTATTGCTCATCCATGCTTAGGCAGAATGAGGGCTTCCCAACATGGAGATGCCAGTTGCAGCAGCATTGGGTGCCTGATTATCCTTAGAAATTCTGCTTTTGTGTTTGATAGACATTTTTTGTGTGTGTGCCATAAATGTGTTCTTGAGAACTTCTGTGACTTACATTATTCAAATCTGTAATGACCATTATTTGGTTGATTGTTTGGTTCATTGGTCCTTACATAGTATGTGAGTGGCCTTTAACACGTCCCCACCACATTGTCAGATCTGCCCTCCCCCATGCTTTCCAGCTTAGCACTTTGAAAGGGTATCTGTTTAGGTCAAGTGTTCTGTTACTTTTTACAGTCTGGGAAATTACTGCTAGGTGCTACTTTTCTTTCCCCTATTCTTTGTTTGATAAAGCCATATTTGTATTTATCAAGTATTTTTTAGAATCAAAATAAGTAGACCTGAGTTTACCTAACTAGGATACTTTAGTTGCCTTCGCAAGCACATAAGCTTATGTAAACGAGGGCAGTTAAACTCAGGTCCTTCCCGGTGAAAATGGTTTTATTCTTTGTGTTGGCTATTTTATAAGATGTGCCAGAAGTGTTGTCTGGACTTGTCCTTTTTTATGAGAAGATAACAAAAGTTTTTCTGTAGGTCGGTAGTCTTAAACTTTATTAGTCACCAAGTTCACCCTGAAGCCCAGTCATGAATTGTGCTAGAGGACCAATTCCAGGTGTGATTAGGACTTCAAGCTCTTGTTTTCAGAAGCAAGTTAGTGGGAAGGACAGGACTCCTGGGGTCTAGACATGTTCTCATCTCAGCTTTCTTAGAGCAGTGTTCATAAGTTAGTGTCACTCCCATATCACATCCCATATTGCTTGTGGATGTCTTTAGTAAGCCTTCTCAGAGAACAGTCACTTTCATCCCTGGAGTACACAGGACAGTGCAGGTAGCTTGGCCTGAAACTCTCTGCAACTGATTTGCTATTTTGTTTCTCATAGCACAGGTGCAGCAGTGATCAGTGGCTCTCAACATCCATCATCATCATCGTCTGTCAATGATGTGTCTTCGATGTCCACAGATCCGACTTTGGCCTCGGATACTGACAGCAGTCTAGAAGCATCAGCTGGACCTCTGGGCTGCTGTAGATAACTACTTAGGCCTTGGGGGGTGGGAGGGGTGGGGAGTCGTTTAGTCATTGATAGAAACTTCTTTGAAAACAGTTCAGTGGTCTTATTTTTGAGTGATTTTTCAAAAACTGTAGAATTCATTTTGTAGTAAAGTAGTTTATTTTTTTTAATTTCAAGTGATGTAATTTAAAAACTAAGTTGTGTTTTAAAACAGCAACAAAACTGTATTGTATTTTTTGCTGTAATTAACTGCATAATGTAAACCTAATTATTTTTATCGTGGTTTTAAATTTTTGCATATTTGCTTTATCTTATGCTGCTGATTTTTTTTTTTACTGAATTTGTAAGATTTTGTTTATCAAAGCAACTATTATGTGGTGACTTGCCTATATCATGAATTATTTAAGATTTTTATAGTTTTTTTATTAGAGTTTATTTCAGATGTTTTGTTCATGATGCTATCCTTCAGGGTTATGTGCTTATCAATGAAATAACCCCAGAGGAGTGAGGGAAAATAACCTGTAGCCAGTTATATTCAGGAATAACTACTGTAAATGATGAACGTGTCAAGAGACCTCCAATATTTGCTACTTGCCAATCCTATTTTAGTTACAGTAATTGGTAGGTAGGGATCCTACCTGAATTTTGGTAGAGCCCTATCATCTAAACGGCAGAATAACTCAGAGCATGTCTTTGAAGATGCTGGGTGTGTGCCAACCACTACCTTCTTAGTCTCCCACCCCACCCTACAAGTCAAGTCACGGATTATGGTGTATTATTGCAAATTTGTGGCATGCTCCAAGCTCATTATCACATAAAGTCAAGAGGATACTTCATGAATAATACATTTCAATGCAAATAAACAGACGGTTCACTAACTAGCTATGAGCCTGTTTTTGTACACACTTGAGTTAATCTCAGGCTGTAGGTCTTAGCAGTGGTTTAGTCTGGTCTTTCCCTTTCTTGCAGCCTCCAGCCCTTGGACCTTCCTATTTTCCTATTTCTTGGAGGTCAGTCAGTTAAGCACCAGTTCTCATGGTGTTTCTGACCATTTGATTCTACCTGTAGCATAATCACTTATACATACTAGCTGTCAGGAGGTTCCAGAGCCTACTTAGATTTGTGTAGGTGATGTATCAAATGAGCAATATACCGTTCATCTGAAAATAGTAGCACACAGCCATATATAGGATATCATTTTCTAAGGACTGTTTATTCACATTGAGCAGAGCAGGCATAAATGGTGGTTATTTAGTCTGAGTCTCTGATTTGTTATACCCAATTTCCAATATAACACAGTGTGGACGCTGAGTAGTGTAAGAATGGTGCTGCTCCTGACAAGTGTGTGCTAACTGTTTACATTTTATATCTGCAGAATTATTTCTCTATAACTGAATTTTTCCTGAGTAAAGTGTCATTGATGTCTCATTATTATTTCTGAAACACATTGTCTGTAATGGCCCCAGGCCCCTTTTGTTACATCTGGAACAAGAGGGATTTCATGTAATGAACTGGGAAGTGCATTCTTACAGAAGCGGCAAGGTTCTAGGCAGAAAGCCCGTTGGAGTTCATGACCAACAGGAACAAGAGCAGGTGCAGCTCAACAAATGCCTGAAAGTTCACTTGGCATTTTATTTGTGTATTTAATGCAAAATTCCTTTTGAGTAAGGTATCTAGGTCATTGTTAATGTGCAATATTTAAGAGTAAAATACATTAGCCTTTTATATACTTTGAAATAGCAGATATGTTTTTGATGGTTTGAAGTTGTGATTTCTAGCTTCCCAGCCTTTGTATCAGTCCCTTTTCTACTCATACAACATGGTGCATTAATTTTATTAGATAAATTAGCATCTTGAGAATACAACATGTCTTGAGTTGTATAAATGGAATTGGATTCATGTTTTAGAACTTTTAGCATGAGTGTGTTCTTACTTCATATTAGTTTTACAGTGAATTAGCTTTACTTTAAGATAGATTGTGTCACTATTGCACTTTAACAGCTGCCATGCTTTCAGAAGATTTTTATATTTGGTTGCTAACAAGCCATCTCTACTGATACAGATTTTTTAAGCAAGGAAAACCAGGTGTTTTGACTGTAAATGCCAGCTCCCACTTGCCAACTATTGTGTCTCAGTTGAATTCAAAGAAAATGATCTTAGTACTTACTATAAACTAAAATACCTAACAGATTATATCCTAAAAAACAAAGCGTTTATTAAATATTGCATGCCTTAGAGTTTTAAAATACATTGTCTGAATACAATTTCCCCCTCTTTACCTGTCTGTTAAGCTAAGTATATATGGTATTTTTTGTTTTAGTGTATTAAAGCATCTTTTAAACACTTTTTAAAATTACAAATATTTGTCAGGAAATTTTTAGCCACTTTTCCTATGATTTTGGCTTTTCAGTTATCAATTATCTTAGTGGCAGCAACTTAACTTTAACAGATTGGCCATTCATTGTTGTCAGTTAGGAAAGAGACCCTGGAAACCTCCATGTTACCTGGAGACAGTTCTCTGACCCTCTGTTGTACACTGGCTGCTTGGAACATGGTCGTGTTGCTGGGATTGCTTGATTGTTGTACTCAGAAGTAGAGCACCTAGGCTTTTTCCTGTTTGCTGAACCATGCAAATTAGGTCCCACACCTTCAGCTGCTGACTGCTCTGATGTGCACTCTTCCCAGTTGGAGGCACAGTTAGTTCACCTGCCTCTTATGAGAAATACAGCATCTTCAGGAGAAGGCTACTATGCAGAGATGCTTGATGGTGTGCAAAGCAGCAATTTCTCATAAGCCTTTGTTGCTCTGTTCCCAGCTAATCTTGCTGTATTGTCCAAAAAGATGAAGGCAAAGAGGAGGACACCATTGTCCAATAGGTAAATGTGCAGAAGGCCTGAGAAGCCTATTCCTGGGTCCCAAGCTTGCTTTCGTTGGTACTGTCTGCCAATATCTGCCACCTGAGGGAAGAGTTAGCCATAATTGTAGACCCTTGGGTTAAGACTGGCCTGGCATGCAAACAACTTGGATTACAACCTGAATTTTAGTTTTAACTTATGAACAAAGTCTTGAGTTATGACCTGAATGCCAGCCGCTTGTGCTTCCAGATGGTCTCAAATAGAGATTTAACCCTTAAAGAGTTCTAGAAGGAACATTACAACACCCTTTCCTTTGTGGGATTAAGAAATCTTGGGCCAATATCTCTCCAAGGACACTGAGATCTGCCTATATGCAGGAGAGAGACATTGAAGGCTGTGCAGAGGAGACTTGACCAACTTGAGTTACATCCAGCCCTCAAGAATGAATTGAGTTCCTAAGTCAAGGGTCCCCTGTATTCAGTGTTGCCTGGGCACTGTCCTGCACAATGTTGTGGGGTAAAAAGTCTCTTTTCGAGTGTACTGTTGTAGTTTGTGAGTGTTGTCCATTAGTCGAACGTTAGTTGTAGAGTGGATGCATGATGCCCTGTGACCCCAGTGAAGTTCTCTTAGTAAGTAGGAAATCCAGCATCACCTTCTATCATTAGCCGCCCTCTTGGACGCGGCTGCTCCACAGCCTGTTGCATTTCAGTGTGCATTGTGTTTCTACTGATCTCTCTCAGCTTCTTCCGGTATCAGAGGAAACTCATCTGTCCTTAATACGTAGCAAGAAAGACGAAAAGGTAAATAAAGGGCATTGAAGCGGAAATGTATAGTTTGGGGTAAGATTGGAAAACAAAAGTCCTAATTAATTTCAAAGTGACCGCTCTTGGTGAAGTGCTGTTTAGGAGAGTGTAGTAAGAGTCACACCTTCCAGCCATTTCTGATTTAGATTCTCTGCATTGTTGAAACTTCTGAGAATTATTACCTGTGGATTAGCTTTGCACAATGTTTCTATTCTCACAATGACTTAAAATTAAACTAGGTTTTTATTGAACTACCTCACACTAATTTTCTATGCTTTCCCAAGTAAGCTGTTGCCCTTACTGTTAGATCTTTACTGAGTGTGAATTATAAATGTGCGCTGAATACTTTATAGCCAATGTTGACAAAATACCAGTAAGTATGTAAAATATAGACCTTGCATCGGTAAGAGACACGTGTAAAATCTTTCACTGTGTATCTTGGAGAATTGTGTTAGATGTGCTTGTTGACATTATTACTATCTGTTTTGTAAGTAGAAACCTGCTCGTGATATCAGTCCATTCTTTACATTTTACAAAAGGAGTAAATCTTAGTAAATTTTACGAAGAAATAAATTACTTTTGTAGGCCCAATATTTGGTATATTTTTGAGAAGCTGTTAATCTTTTAGCCGAATGAAGTTAAACTGAAGTAGCTGTCTACCTGGACTGTGACATCTATTTTCTCATTACAGTCTATCCTGTTAAATAAGTTTTTGAACCTGGAAGTTTAAGTATGATGATTGACATTTGCTTTTCTTCCTTTCCATGTTGTCCCTCCATCCCTTCCTTTCCCGGTATGCCATTCCCTCTCCTATCCTTTAGATGAATTGAATTGGGGCACTTTGTAGGGAATGCTGAGATCATTGTTGTGGTTTTTAATCATGCCCTAGTCATTCAACATGCACCACTGGAATGTAAACAATGTTATCTAGTATGTCAATTGGTTATAATATTTTAAATAAAAAAGAAAAAAGTGGTATGAAAATTACAAAATTGAGTTTTTCATTAAAAAAACTGGCAAGTTTTTGTTAATTTAGAATTTTCTGTGGATTGGTATAAACAGGATATTGACAGGCTTCTTAGATTGGGGTTTTATACACATTGTAGGAAATTTAAGAATTTGGCTTTGTTCTTGGTGACCTTGTGAGAGTAGTCATTGTGGCCACTTGGCAAAAATAAGCATTTAAACCTGGAGTCTGCTTCCTGACAAGCAGGGGATTTAAACTTGAAGCGCATTTCCAGCTGTTTATATGTCACTTCCTGTCTGCCTATTTAGGGCGGCTGTGTGAGAGGCCACCAGCCTCAGGGTGTTGACTTTGTGCAATCTGCATGTCTGGCTCCCCTCCTCTGCACCCAGAGAGCAGAGAAGAGGACTCGCTTCTTCCTCATGCTGAGTGCTACCCTAGCCCTGCCACATGGATGCTGCGTGGTGCTGTTTCATCACAATCATTGGAGAGCCCTCCAGTGACTCGCTGAGTGACAAAGCAGACATCACAACGTTGAGTTTAAACCTGTTTTTATTTGACTTTTTTTTTTTTTTTTTTGGAGATTTTCACCCATTCATAATGTGGAACAATTCATACTTAGCTCAGGTACTTTTAAATTTTTTGTTCCTAAAAAGGATCAGTAACTTTAAATAAAGATGAGGTGTACTAATTTTGTGGTTTAAAATCTTTTAGCTGTTAGAAGTTGTATTTTGGTATCCCTTTGAACTTGAAACTACAAGATAACTTCACGTGTGCTTTGAGGTGTTAGATTTTTGTATAACATGCTTCATTGAATTTTATCAGTTAATGAAAGCTTACATGGCTGTCTACTGGGGACTGGGAGGGAGGACAGGCGGGTGAGAGGCCACCTGGCCATTGCAGTGGTGCTGTGCTGGGGACCAGGAACAAGGACCTTGCTGAGGGTTACAGGAGGGATGGGTAGGAAAATGTGATGGGATGCACTGAAAATGGGGATTCCTGGTAAGAGACTTGAAAGCCATGGAGTGGCCAGACATGGCCTGGGTGTGTCAAATTGTGGAAGATGAGGCTCAAGAGTTAAGGTTCAGAATCACAGTTGAGCTCAGGATCTGGAAAATTGAGTATATGTGCCTGTGAGCCCATGTGTGTGTACTTGCTCACTGGATCCATCACCCACCGCAGCTCATATACCAAGATGGGGACGTATTGCCCACCCCATGTAGGGTTCAGTGGCATGGCGTGCTGTGTGCCTACCTGTTGCCGATGCCACACCTGGGATACCCTGGCAGAAGAACCTGTGCCCTGTGGCAGGTACATAAGCATTCAGCATGTCAGCCTGGGAAAGCCAATTCCCAGTACATTTTCTATGCCGTTTCTGTATGAAAATGCAGTTCATGGCCTTCAGAATGCAAGTTAGGATGTGCATGTCATGCTGTGAAATCACTGTGGCTCTGTGAGCATCCCAGAGCACGATGGTGGCCTTGCTCTAGTCATAGCAAGGGGCTTTGCTCTCATGGCTCTGCTTGTCGCCAGGAAATGGCATGATAGGACATTGGTGTCTATCTCTGAAGGGTATCTGTGTCCTTAGGTGCTTCATAGGAACCAAATACTTTCCCCCTTTGGATATGCTGGAAAAGGAAAGATATTCTTACACCTGGAATCCATGCCATCCCCAAAGAGGAGCAGAGCCAGAAGACCCTGTCTTTAGACTGACAAGGCCCAGACCCTGCCTCTTGTTTTCTTTAAACATTGGATGTTAAAATATAGATGCTGAAAGCTGGCTGAGGATGGCCAGAGGAAGAGGTGAGATAACTTTCTCTGCCAGGCACTTGGGCAGTTGCTATTGACCACGGCAGTTCCTGGTCCCAGGGAGGCAGGTATTTGTGACTTGTGATTTCAGGGGCTAGAAGGGCTGGATGGGCTGGGGACTGGGCTTGATCTACCAAACTTGTCTCTGCTTTGGCTCCATGGTTTCTCCACAAGAAGACACAGCTATCCTGGCTTATCACAGACCACAGCATCCCTGAGACTCTATGGTCCTGGTGTCCCTGGGCTTGGGAGACGCAGGGAACAGCAGTGTGCCTGGTGAGAAAAGAGTGTGACATTGGGTAGAGGCTGAGTCGCCGTCAGTGGACACCAGTACAGGAACAGTGGTAGGGGTGGTGCCCTACTGCTTAGCAGAGAGCTCACTGTGGACAGAGAGAACCTGTCCTGAATAGAATTCATGACGTGGTTAGGCAGGGACAGGGCTTTAATGCCGGAGGAAGAGCCTGAAACTTGGCTGCTGTCCCTGATTCTGCCTGTTATCCTCAGGCTGGAGAGCCATGGGTACAAGGGTTCCATCCACAAACCCTCTGTCCTTTTACTGTACAGAATGAATATGGCTCATTCCTGGGCCAGCATTCAAAAGCCATCTCTCTCCCCCTTCCTCCTCTTCCTCCTCCCTCACTCTCCTTAAAATTGTATTACAAATTTTTAAAAAGTGTATTAATCAAGGGCCGGGAATTTAGCTCAGCAGTTCTGTGGCCTGCCTTGCAAGCGCAAGGACCGGAGTTCAATCCCTGGTACCAAAAAAAAAAAAGTGTATTAATCAGATTTTTCCCCCGGTACTGAGATTGAACCCAGGACCTCACACATGTAAAGCAAATGCCCTGACAGCCACACCCCAGCCCTTTTTATTTGACTTTGATGCAGGGCCCCACTAAGTTATCCAGGCTAGCTTTGAACTTGTGACCTCTTCCTCAGCCTCCCAGGTAACTGGGATTATAGGTGTTCACCACTGCGGCTGGCTATTCATCAGATTTTTAATGTAAGGCAACCATTTTGCTTTTCTGTGTAAGACTTCTACAATTTCCAGATGCTTTTCTTTAAATTCAAACACAAATTTTTTTAACACTTGAAGAAATTTGTAAACACTTGGCCAATTTTCCATGATTGCATTGTTGACTTACCTATACTTCCTTTGACAATGTTTTTTAACTTGCCCTGCTGAGTTTCTCGTACAGCATCCCATTAGATTTTTAAAGAACGAATCTCTCTGGTCATAATCCTTTGGTTTACTTAATATTTAAATGTTGCCATCACAGTAACAACTAGAGTCCACAGTGGCAACAGGATTGATAACTACAATCCCATTGGGGAGAGCAGCAGTAGCCGTGGGTGAAGGTGAACTGCAGGCACCAATGTGCTTTGCACTCAGAAGCCAGATGTGTCATAGAGGACAAGAGAGATGGGACAAGAACCACTAGCGCCAATTACTTTTCAGATAAAAGCTGCAGTTGCAGATCCTAATATAGCCAGTAGGTGGCAGCTAAGGCTCATGAGCTGCCATTCACGGAACAGGGACTTCGCAGGAAGTAGGGGCTCTGCCCAGGTTAATGCCTGAGACTGGCAAGCTCCCTTTCAGTCTTCGGAACCCAAGTGAGACACTGGTTTTCTCTACTATTGACAACCTGGTGGCATTTTTCTGTCCAGGTCAAAGTCCGGAAAAATCCTGTTGTGATGAGGATACTCAGGATCCCAAAAATAACACTGGTGTTCCCACCTGCCTTCAGGTTTGTTTCCCCTCTAGGAAGAAAGGGCCTGAGCTTGCTTTGGAAACACATATACTACAATTAGAAGACAGGGTCCGATTCCTGTCCTGCTAAGTTGTGAGCAATTAAAGTTGCCTCTGGGCCAGGGATTTAGCTCAGTGGTTCTAGCGCCTGCCTCGCAAGCACAAGGACCTGAGTTTGATCCCTAGTACAAAAAAAAAAAGTTGCCTCTTTTTCCTCAAACATAGCTGGGTGGAGCTACCATCCACAGGATAGCACCCAGAACAGAGGCGAATATCTCCCCAAACCACAGAGCTCTGCATTGCTTGCCCTGGCTGCTGTGGCTATGAAGGGCCCCAGCTGGCTCTGTGGGCCTGTCAGTGGCTGCCCTTCATGGTGGGCAGCGGGGGAGCAGAGGGACCCTACCACTTACAGTAAGTCCTGTGCTAACAGCCTATGTTGTCATTCATGAGACCTGACTCCAGGAAGATGGCCTCTAGGGACAGCAGTCAGGCATGTTGGTGACTGACTCCCAAAAACCACCCCAAACCACTGCTTAGTGGCTAGTGTAAGGATACAGGCCAGGTGCAGGGCAGGACAGTGGCCCTCTTCCTGCTGCACCCCAGGCCAGCCCCTCCTGCAGGTGGGGCTTGAGGTCTGCAGAGGACCTGGGGGACTGGGAGTGGAGAGGAGAGGCCTAGGGGGAGGTAGGGCAGTAGAGGACCAGCAGGCTCCGCTCTCCTACCTGCACGTGTCACATTCCTGGGCACGTGGGCCCCAGCCCTGGAGCACAGCTGGCCCTGCGGAGAGGATTGTGGGGCAGAACTATGCTGCAGAGGCAGACAGGGAGCAAGGGGTGGAGGATATGGCAGACTGGGTATGGGGTGGCAGAGCCCAACATAACAGCTCTATGCATGTCCAGCTTCCCTAACAACGGGGCTGGAGCTCCTCGGCAAGTCTGTGTCCCCACCCCAGGGCCCAAGCCCTCTGAGAAACAGGAGATGCTGCTTGGTGAACCCCACTTGGCCCAGGCAAAGAACAAAGCAAGAGGATACACCATACTGTCAGAATGCATTTAATAAACAGCACGATGGCTCCTGGCAGCTTGCAGCTCTGGGCACCTTAGCTTGCAGCGGGCAGCCCTGGGGTTCTTCCTGGGTGAGAGGCTAAAAGCCACTGTAGTCACTGTCCCCTTTGATGCCCACCAGACCCTGTGTAGTCAGAGGGAACGCAGCAGATCCTGCCTGGGTATGGGGGGGGACCCCACAGTCCATGGGTGGCTGGATCTGTCTCCAAGCGCCTATCCTGCCTGGACCAGTGACAAGGCTTCTGGCTTGGCCTACAGAGTGTGCCCTCTGGTCCTTTCACTTTGGGGCTCTGGCAACTTGGGCCCCCACTGTCAGGCTTCCCAGCGTGGAAAAGAACTCTTCCATCTCCTTCTGCAGCAGCTGGTTTCGACGCTCTGCATCCTCCCGCGCCCGCTCTGAGTTTCGCAGCTTGATCTCCAGCATAGAGTGCTTCTTCCTCTCCTGGTCCAGCTCCTCCTCCAGCCGAGACAGCTGACCCCGTAGCTCTGCGCTGCCCTCTTCAATGCTTAAACACCAAGAAGAGACATTTCAGAGCCCAAGAAGCACCACCCTGGCAGGGGCATCCCTGGGGACTTGCCAGGGCAGAGAGGGACCCACCCACTCCACATGAGCCCGTGAGCTATCAGCCACTCCACCCTGTGATCCAGAAGTGCCACCTGAGGACCTATGTCCTTAGTGAAACAAAGACCTTGCCTAGCCAGCCCTGTCGCCTGCCCAGTCACTTGCCCCACTGAGGATTGTGGGGGGGATCTGTCCCCAGGACTTTGCTCCTATGCCCTGAAGTTTGTGCCATGCTGTGCAGAGGTTGGCATTTTCTGTGACCAGAGGACAAGCTCCTGCTTGCCACCTGGGGACACTCTGGGGCTCAGGACCCAGCTGGCTGCATACAAGCCCCGCAGTGGTGACAGATTCCAGAGACCATCACCGAGTTCCACACGCTGTGTCTGTGGAACCAGTACTGGCTCCCACCCAGCAGTGAGCACAGACCTGGGAAGGAGGCCTCTCTTCCCTTAGGCAAGCGCACGCTGTCAGAGGGCCCAACCACTTCCTGGTCCCCCGCTGCTTTGGGCTGGGATACCAGTCCTCCCTCTTCCTCTCTGTGCCACACCTGGGTGACCATGTCCAGGCTATTGACCTTCTACACGATGTTTGGCCTATTCAAAGATCATGGTCAGCACTGAGCACTTCGGCTCCAGCTGTCCCACCACTGTGGGGCACCCCCTGCATGCCACACCATGGGCCTCTTTGCCTTTTGCACCCCCACAGTCCACAGAACCCACTTAGCTCCACTTTCAAATGTGATTAGTCTGGCTGCTGCTCCCAACTCCCACAGCCCTCCGTGGCCCATACCAGCCACCCGCAGGCCTGGACCATATGGCCTCCTGTCTGTGCCACCCTGGAACCTGGCAAGCTCTACATGGCAGCCAGGTGTGCCATCAAAGGGACCACAGAGCTCAAGACCATCCATAGGCTTTTCATTCACTCTCACCTTCCTCCCAATAGGCTGGAGCATCCAGGCCTCACTGGTCATTGTGCTGAGCGCTGGCATGGCCCTGGGGTCCTCTCCCTAAGCCCTTTCCCTCCACCCCACTTTACTGCCCTCCTCCCTTGTCTACTTCCAAATACATGGCACAGTTAGGAAGACCTGTTTGGGGTATGGCCTCTCTGTCCTGTCCTTCCAAACAAGGAGGGCAGGGATTTGGTCACAGATGTATCCCCAGCACCCAGCAAGCATCTACCCTAGGAAGACAGCAGATTCTATTTGGGGAAAGCTAGAAGGAGGCTCCCTATGGGGGCAAGAGGAGGTGGCAAACACACCCCGCCCCAGCACCCCAGGCCTGGTGACTCCATGTGAGCAGAAAATGGTCATGTCTTCCCTGACCACCCCTCTTCATGGGGACTTCCTTGGGCCTTTGGGAACCTCATCCTTCAGCCACAAAGCTGCAGTAACCCAGGCAGTACAGGCTTCTGAGCCCTGGGGACAATGCACAGCACTGGGCTGAGCTCAGGACAAACAGTGACCATAAGAACATTTGGCTAGCGCTTGACAGGCCAGCATCACAGCCAGGCAGCCAAAGGAGAACTCACCAAATAGCACCTCCCCTCTGCTGGGGAGCCCTTGAGGTGGCCCCACAGCAGCCCAGTGGGTGAGGTCGGCCACCTCTAGCATCCACAGCCAGTGCTCTCACTCTTCCTGTGACCCTGTGACCTGTGAGCCAACCCACAGCAGCCACAGCCTCCACAGCCACCTCTGAACAGGGTGTAAGGTGCAGACCCCGTTTCCAGCCAGGGCTTGGCTCTGGCATGTCCTTTCTCCTCTGCACAGCCCCAGCCCACCTACTGGCCCTTCACAGCCTGCCCGGACCCCACCTAACCCTAGATGCCCAGGAGACACTTCCGGCGGAGCAAAGGGGCCACATGCTGCCCTCTAAGACCCAAGGAGCCCAGCACAGAGAAACAGGAGCACCTTCCATGTGCACCACCACAGTCGGGTACAGAGCCTACAAACCCTGCTGGGTGTATGCCCATCTGCCAGGTCAGATAGCTGGCAGGGGCCTGGACAAAGACACTGGGGGACACCTGTGCCTGCTGTCCAGTGTGGTTGTCCCAGAGCTTGGGGAAAGCTCGGCCTCTCAGCTTGAGTGTCCTCTGCAATGGGGAGGACCCTTCTCACAGGCCACCTGGGGAAGGACAGGGACCCATCTGCGAGTGATCCCACATCACAACTGTCGCTGTGGCAAGGTGGAAGGGAGGGCTGACCCCGTGCTTGGGAGGAGTCTCACTGCTTGGCAGGCTGGGCTGGGGCCCCAGGGCCTGGGGCTATAGGATCCACAGCGCAGCAAGGACCCCAGGCCCAGCCTGCCCCACCCTGGCAGTACAGCCTTGCCCAACCTTCAGCAGGCCTGCCAGTCGCCAGCTCCAACAGATGTGCCCATCCCAATCCAACAGCTTGGGCTGCTCCCAGAGGCAGCAGCAAGGTGGGGCTGGCCTGGCGCCGCAGCTGGACCTTTACCTTCTCAGGCTCGCCTCATACTCGGTCCGCTGGTGGCTCAGTTCCGCCCTGAGCTCAGCCACCAGGCCCTGGAGCACCCGGCAGCGGTGGGGAGGGTCCTGGCCAGGGCTGCCAGGGTTGCTGGGTTCCTGGCTGCTGCTGTCGCCCACCCCTGCTTCATCTGGGCCGTAGGCTGGGTCGAGAGACCTGTGGTCCTCGCCACTGCTGCTGGGGAGTGGGGATCGTTCGAGGGCCCACTCGGTGTGCAGGGAGCTGCCAGCAGATGAGTCGCTGGCCCTGCAGGCTGTGCAGCTACTGACAGAGGCATCTCGGGGTGATGAGGCCAGGGACCACGCTGTGCTGGCCACACTGGCCGTGCTAGGAAAGAGGCTTGGCGGGGGCACATTGTCGTAGGTGGACAGTCTCTGTGTGGAGCTTGAGTCCTTGAGCCGGTCCTCTGATGAGGCCCGGTGGTGGCCGCGCAGAGATGACAGCCCATTCATGAGCCAATTTCCCCGGCCACCACTGCCGCCTCCAGAGGCCGGAGGCACCTCCAGGGACGTACTGCCCTGCTGTGGGCTCACTGACCCAGATCTCCGCTGGTGGAAAGATGACTTCCAGCCTGGCAGCGTCTGCACTCTCTTCCTGGGGCTGCCCTGGCCCAGGGCGGATGTCCTAGAGAGGACTGCGGCCGCTGGCCCATCCAGAGATGAGGTCCTGTGTGTGGGCAAGCTGGGGTCCCCAGGCTCTCCCTGGCTGTCTTTGTTGGCCTCCTCAGAGCCCCAGCCCACGGTGCACGGTGACCTTCTACATGGTGATATGGGCCCTTCTGGGGTGGGTGCCATAAAGAGCTGGCCATGTTTTCGGATGAGGACAGTCATAAGGTGCTGGACCAGGGAGGTGCCTGAGGGAGAGAGGAGAAAGGCTTTGTTGTGAGTGGCTGGAAGTGGTCAGGATTGCTATGGCCTGGACACAGGGTTGGCACCTATATGGCTGCCCACCCTTTGGTGGTCCAGGGCTGTCTTACTCGTATGGGCACACTCACAAATGCACATACACCCAAACACGCACACATAGTGCCTCCTGCCCAATCCCTGAGCATGCAGCCCCACACCCCAGTTCTGGGTACTCAGCTTCTGTGGCTCTGTGGGGGTGGCACTGAAAGTGGGCATGCAAGATGGCCCTTGGTATCTACCCAAGTAGCCTCACCACCAAAGACCACAGACAGGAAGTTTGCCAAGAGGTCAGGAAGGCTGGGCACTTGGGTGGACCCTGGTATAGAAGGTAGCCAAGAACTCAGGAATTATGCAAAGATCTGCCAGACAGGGCAGGGCACAATTCAGTGTCTACGTGGGCACTTTGGCATCTGGGCAGGTGAGGGCTTGGGCTTCCTGGCCTCAGAAGGCCTAAGCCAAAGCAACACCCCTGTGGAGACCAGTTCAGGTCCATGCCACCCCACACCACCACAGGGTCCCATGGCCACATCGTGCAAGGATCTGGGCCTTCAGCTGGCCCAGGGCTGGGCAGCAGGGCTCCAGGAACTGAACCTCAGTTCCTCTGTAAAACAAGGGCGATCATCATAGCATAGGCTGGTAGTGAGGACTGAAACTGATACAAATTAAGCACTACAGAGGCAGAAGATTGAGTCTAGACCCATATCTCTTACCATGTATTAAACTAAAATCAAAATGGGTCAAAGATCTAAATGTTAAAACAGAAACATCAAATCTGCTGGAGATAAAACAGGTAAAACTCTTTAAGACAGGCATAGGCAAAGGCTTTCTGAACAGAATCCCAATTGGAAAAGAAATAACATCAACAACCAACAAATGGGATCATATCAAATTTAAAAGCTTCTGCACTGCAAAGAAAACAATTAAACCAGTGAAGAGACCACCTATAGAATGGGAAAAAATTTTTGCCAGCTATTCCTCAGACATAGGACTAACATCTAGAACATATAAAGAGGGTCGGGGATTTGGCTCAGTGGTTCTGCTGCCTGCCTTGCAAGCACAAGGGCCCGAGTTCAATCCCCAATACAAAACAAAACAAAGAACTCAAGAAATGAGACCCCCCCCAAAAAAAAAATAAGACTCGATAAAAAAATGGGCAACTGAAAGAAACACTTCTGAAAAGAAGTGCAAATGGTCAATAAAAAATGTTCAACATCACTTGTCATTAAAGAAATGCAAAGTAAAACTACACTAAGATTCCATCTTAATTCAGAAAGAATGATTGTCATCAAGAAATCAGATAACAAATATTTTCAAGGCTGCTGGGGTGGGGGATGGGGTTCTCCACTGTTGGTGGGAATGTAAACTAGTACAACCACTATGGAAGTCAGGACAGTGATTCCTCAAAAAAAAGAAAAATAGAAATTCCATTCAACCCAGTTATTACCCTCTTAGGTATCTTCCTGAAAGAGCTACAGACATCATATTATAGGGACACACGCACACCCATGTTTACAGCAGCACAACTCATAATAGCTAAATCTGGGAAGCAACTTATATGTCCATTAACAGATGAGTGGATAAGGAAAATGTGGTATTAATACACCATGGAGTACTACCCTGCCATAAAGAAGGATAAATTCGAGTCATTTGTAGGCAAGTGGGTGCACCTTAAGACCATAATGTGAAGTGAAATAAATCAGACACACAGCTTAAATATTGCATGATTTCCCTTATATGAGAAAATCAAAGTATAAATAAAGAGCAAAATAAAAGGAAAACAGAGATATTTTGCAATGGGAAAGGGACCAAGAGGTAGAGGAGGGAAGAAGGGAAGGGAAGTAAAAAGAATTAAAATGTGTTATGTAATGCCCCACAATGAATATAATTATGTGCCGAAGACATGTACTAATAATGTAAAAAATAAAAAGCACTAAATAGAGACACATTAAAAGGTGCTACCACTGCTGAGGGTTTTGTTTTGTTTTGTTTTTAAGGACCCATCTTGTTATGTTGCCCAAGCTATCCTGGGGCTCCTGGGCTCCTGGGCTCCTGGGCTCATGCAATCCTCCTGCCTCAGCTCCTGCCTCACAAGTGCAAGGTCCTGAGTTTGATACCTAGTACCAAAAAAAAAAATCATTTTATTGGGCTGGGGATATAGCTCAGTGGCACCGTGCCTGCCTGGCAAGTTTAAGTTGATTCCTGGTACCAAAAAAAAAAAATCATTTTATTATTATTTATCATAGAAAAGCAACAGGGTTTACAAAGCTATGACATCCAAGAATCTTAGATAGTTACTTAATTGTGAAAGTAATGCAAAAATTGCCTGTGTGCAAGGGCAAGAACCCTGACTTCTCCTACCCCCCAGCCACTCTGTCCACAGAGACCCACAACGTGGCTGGGACCAGACACAACACAAGCTTCCCTTTCCTTTTACAGTGGACTCCACAGTCAGGCTCATGGGGAGTTCTCGGGAGGTGAGGACCTGAGCCAGTGTTCCTTGGGCCTGAAAATGCGCCCAGTAGCAAGATGAGCCCTGGCGCCCATTGCGCCTTCCTCCCCAGCACCTTCCATGATGGTCACTGGGTCCTCCATCGGTGGCCGCAGGATGTTAGGTCCAAACACAGTTGCCAGGTTCTGCACACTCATCTTGTTGACGTCTGAGTGGGACTGCACTTCATCCAGAAACCTGCCCAGGAAGGAGAAGAACCAAGCAAACTCTGACGGTCAGATGGATTCCAGCTACCAGGGCTTACCCCAGCTTGGCCCCTCTGTAGCTATGCCCAACTCTACCCTGGCCCCATCTTGTCCCCCCTAGCCATGCCTCCAAGTTTCAACAGTGGCTGGGCACCACCAGCTGCACCTGCCAAGCTGGATCAGGGCCATGGAGGGGGCCATCAGAAATGAAGGCCAGCAGCCCGCCATCCTTGACACAGGAGGAGAAGGACACAGGACTTTACAACCTACAGTGGAGTGGATGCCCTGGAAAGCCAGACACCCTTGGGTAAGAGCCCATCCACTGTACTGGAAGACACTGATCCCATGGGCTGTGATCCCCGCAGATGCCCAGGGGCACAGGATGAAAGGCGGGCCCTCACAGGACCCAAGCACCCAAGCTTGGGGCCATGCCCTTGTATGGACCCCAGTCCCTCTGTGACTGGACAGTGTGTCCATGTTGGTGGGGAAGGAGCACAGAGACAGAGCAGGAAGGGCCCTACCCTGAGCTACTTACTTGCAGATATATGTGAGCAGGTTGTAATTGGCCTGAGGGAGGTTGCGCACTTGTTGGGCCAGCTCTAGAGTCCCCTTGGGAAAGAAGAAAACAGCTTCACAACCCACCACAAGACCCGGGGAAGGGATGAAGCCAGGCCCCTGACCACCTCCATCTCCTGCAGCAAGTTGCAGCCACACTGTGACCTCTGAGGAGGCTGACTTCCTTTCTGGGAATGAGTGAGGGATGAGCATCTTTGGGGACACCAGGGACATCTCAGCTTACTAGCAAGGCACAGATATCTGCCAGACAGGCCAAAGGGACGGCAAACTGCTTCTCCTGCCCTAGTGCCCAGGGCAGCGAACACATCTGTTCCCCTCTGTCCTGAGTGCCCTCAAACTCTTTCCAGAGTGGGCAGGACAGAAATGGGCAGAGGGTGTCTTTATTTCTGAGCCCGAGGCCTGGGTGGCCCAAGCCAAGCACAGGAGAAGGCAGTGGAGTAAGAGCATCCACTGAGACATGGCCACAGCTGGGCTCCCTTGACCAAGGTGGCCTTTAGGAGGCACCTGGCTCTTTAGAACATTCAGGTCTAGAAACAGGGAAGGTGCAGAGCACAGAAGAGCAGGATACTCTGGTCACCTCCCTCAAAACAGAGGACACCCTCACCTGCCAAAGACAGCAGGATGCACCAACTCACCCTCCACAAAACACACACACACACACACACACACACACACACAGGAAGGATGCTCCCACGAACACCATATGGTCTGCATATGTAGGGCACTGAAAGCTGAGGACCTTGCATCCTGACTCCGAGTGCGTGTGCCCAGCCGGCTCCCCTCCCGGGATGGGTCCCTGGGGCACTGACCTCCCCCTCGTCCTTGGTGAGCAGCTGGGCGCAGCTGAGGAAGTCCTCATACCTAGCGAAGGGGATCACGGGCTCAGGCAGCTCCCGCAGGTACAGCTTCAGCAGGGAAGCCACTGTGTGCACATCCGTTGTGCTGGGGGGGCGGGGACAGTGTGAGGCTAGGCTCTGGGGGCTGCGGCAGTGACACACACCACACTGCACAGCCTCTTGCCTCAGGTCTGCAGTCAACTTCCTGGTGCCCATCCCCACGTTCCCCTGCAGGGCAGCACTCTCCTGTGGCCCTTGCCAGGTGCTGTCAGCCCCAGCCTGTACTTGCTTAGCTTCTGGGCTAGACCTTGGCCTTGCAGTGAAGGTCACAGGCAGGGCCCTGACCTCTTGCTTGCTGACCACACTCAGGCATCTGTGCTCGTCTCTGTTTCTGGAGCCCTGGCCTCAGTGCCCTGCACGTGGCCCGGAGCTGCCCAGGCTACAGTGGTCCTTTCTTGGGTTCTATTTGGCCTTACAGCACAGTCCGTAGTCTAGAGCTGGCCTCTCCTCCAACTGCATCGGTTATACATGTGCCCCTGAAAGTTCATCTGCTTCCCTTGGGCCTGTTTTAAACCCAAACCTACCTCCCCCTTGGGAAGACCTCAGCAAAGAGAGGGAGGGGCCAAGAGGCTGTAGTCACTAAAGTGCCATCAGCCCTGGCTGCGTCCCATGCCAGCCTCATTGAGATAAGCACTGGGTCCCTTTGGCCCTGACATCTGGGATTCTGCGGCTCCATGCCCCAATATGCACCCCAAACTCATACTGGCAGGGCCCCTCCCTGCCCTGTCCCTATCTCCCTTCCCCAACCAGATGTGCAGCTTTCTGCCCACCACTGCCTTTGCCTGGCCCAACTAGGCTGGCTGCACCTGGGACTCCATGTTGAGCCCAGGGTCCCCTGTCCTCTGGGGTCCCAGGGATTCAGTGGCAGCAGCCACCAGAGAAGAATGGTTGGGGCACAACCATCAAGTGCCCTGCAGAAAGGAATGTGCCAGAAAAAGCAAGAGTCCATGACAATAGGTCATGAGATCCCCGAGCCACTTCTTTCCAGAGCAGAGTGGCCCCTCCATTCTGCAGTTGTCCTTCCCAGGGCCCCAGACCCCACTGTTCAGCCCCCTCACATGCTGACCTTCTCAAAGTCCCCAACCCCCTCCTTTCCCTCACCTGCACAGGTCTTTTCTTCAACAGCTGGCTCAAGGCTTTTTCCTGAGTCCCCACCCTCCCACTCCACAGTGGATCCAGCCACTCTCGCCAGCACAAAGGGGAACCTACCAACCTGGGGGCCTTCTAGCCAATGCTGCTTGAGGGGGCCAATGCAGGGCACAGTGGGCATGAAAATAGGCAGGCCTGGCCTGGGGCATACCAGCCACCCCTGCTGTTCACATCCTCCAGCTGTGGCATCCTCCTTATCCTCCTGTTTTGAGTATCCCACGAGGGGCTCATACCCGGGGACCATCTGCAGCACCCAGAGTGATGTGAGCAGTGCCAAGGGGCTTGAGGGACAGATATGCTCGAAGAACAGTTTGAGTTCTGATGGCTTCCAGGTTGATGGGCTCCTGACACAGGAAAAACCAGGAAGAGACATCCTGGCAGGTGGACAAGCTGCTGCACACAAACCCACACCCTGCAAGGGATCATAAAGAGCACTAGGCCCGAGAATACCATCCTGGGGAGCTTCTGAAAGTCCAGGTGTCAGGTCCTACCCAGGTAGTTTGTTTGGAGCCATCTCCAATCCTATACCACCCAAGAGCACAGGACAGGGGAGTCCTGGTTGGCAAATGTTTAGAGTGCACCACTGCTCAATGAAAGCCAGGGTTAGGACAGAGCTTCCCAAGGCACCAGGGAAAAGAGACCCCTAAGATGGGCTGTAAATGCAGTGGCCTTTGATAGGGGTGGGACATAGGATGTGGGTAAGTCCCAGAGGTGGATTAGGGTGAGCACAGACCCCAGGTAGGTGGGGAGTGAAACAAGTGGCTGTGCCATCTTGCCACTGATGGAGGTAGGGCCTAAAGACAGACTTCAGCAAGCCTGGGGTCCTGAATGCAGCCATGCCTGAATTCACCTAGCCTGGTGGTCAGCAAATTCCCCCTTCTCTCCTGCCTGGGCCAGGCCTCATGGCTGGCACCATCCCTGAGGGGACCCATGGCTCTGTGCCCTGGGAGGGCTGATGTGCTCATAAGTGTGAGCAGCTGGTATCCATGCAGTGGCCAGGCTTGCTGGGTGCCACTGGCCCAGCCCCACAGCTCACCTGTCAAAGAGTGGCTTCTCACCACAGTCAAAGGAGTCCTGTAGGCCCCGCACCAGGTCAGCCTGGCCAGGCAGGCGGAAGAGCCCCTCCTCAGCGAGCCCACGCTCCCGGATGAAGTCCACACACTGCTCCACCAGCATTGGGGCCAGCCGGGGCCCGTACTTCCGCTCAAGGTAGACCGTGTCCTCCAGCCGCTGCCCAAAGATCCCTGGTACAGAGAGGGGCTGGTCATGCCTTCTACCACCCAGCTGGTGGCAGGCAGCAGGGACAACACAGCCGTAAGGGCCAGAGGATGTTCTTCCTGGGGAGACACATTAGACACTGGGGGGCATATCCTGGGTGCATGGATGCAGACAACACCACTGTGATGCAACATCCCTGCTCCCTAGGGAATCCAGTCAGAACCACACTACTCCTGCCGAAAATAGAAAAAAAAAAAAAAAAAAA